TATAATAATTATGATAATAAATAATGTCTGATAGGGAAGAGAGGATTGCTGAAAATCAAGAACCACCACAATTTGGAGACTTGATGCTACGAAATATGAAGCAAATTAAAGTAAGCTAAAAGAGAGTAATTCATTATGTAATTACCTAATAAAATCCGTATCTCCGCGTGCCCATGTAATATCCTCTATTTATCCTGTATTATATCGGTATGTCTGCATGTTTTCATATCATTTGATGAATATGTTATTCTTGTTATTATAGAGATATGTTCCTCATCTAAAAAGACACGATGAAGTCATGCTCAACTTGGAATCTGCAACCAAAAAGCACAAACAGTTTGATACAGTGTATAAAGAATTTGAGGTAAACAAACAGAGTTTTATTATTTGATATTAAATCAATTTTTGATGAGATTTTTCCATTTCTCAACAGACTCAAAAAGTTTGCTATCTGCCATTGAATGCTTTCCTACTCAAACCTTCCCAGAGACTACTTCATTATAAATTCCTACTTGAAAGTAAGTACACACATTGGATTATTAATTAGTGCTAGCGAATTGTAGGCTTTGACTAATTACAAGCAAATACATAGTAGCAGATCTAGGAGGTCAGAGATTCTTTACAACCAATTATTTCACTATTTTTTTTAATGAGTAACTTGAATGTTCTTGTAGGAATACTTAAGTTTTGTCCAAGAGATAATCCTGACTTCCAGGACTTACAAGGTTAGTGTCATTTAATGATATTTACATTTATTGTCTGGTTGTTAGTGTTTAGATTTGAGTCTGACTGATTTATTAGTTGGGTCTTTCATTCAATATTCTGTAAACTGACTGATTATTGGATTCACTGAGTAATTGTTTGAATAATTGATTTTTATTGTATTGATTCAGATTCCCTTCATGAATTGGGACAAGCTGTCAGAGACACAGAAGAAAGCATGAAAAAACTGGTATGGTATTAATCAAGTTTTCCAAAAATAATTTACGATTCAGCAAAATTATTATATTAGTRCCTCAGTAATMATATTWKCCTTTTACTATTTGTTGCAGGAAAACTTCCAGAAGTTAATTGAACTACARCGTGACTTAATTGGTGTTGATAATCTTGTTCAGCAAGGCAGGGTATGTGAGCTACTKAGAAGTTAACTAAACAGTTATGATGTTATTCTTGTCATATGCTTGTGCTAAGTACTGTGTAATGTGCTATTTTATAGGACTTTGTGAGGGAAGGTTGTCTTCAACGGATATCAAGAAAGGGWCCTCAACCAAGAATGTTCTTCCTTGTAAGATTTCTATTGATTTGTAGTTACTTAAGAGCAACAGCCAGTCCATTGCTGGATTTGTTATTAACCTCTTTTTAGTCAGATTTCTTGTAAACGTAGTTTTCCTTTTCTCTCCTTTCCATAAATCTATTCTATATCTATTTTTATTCTTCCAACCCTATAGATATTTTCATCCTATTCCACCCCATTTCATCCCGTTACATCTGAAGGTAGAATGTTTTATATCAGTCCATGTATAACTTACAAAGAATGTCAAATTGTCAGTTTTCAGATCTTTTATTATACACCTGTAAAGGAGTGACAGTTACAAATCAGTTTCGAGTACAAGGACAAATACCTCTCCATACTGTCAAGGTATKCTAATATTACAATTAAAATAATGAAAGCATTCACGATATGAATTCACTACYTTAGAGTGCACACACAGAAAGCAGCTTAATTAATTTTAAAT